CTGCTCAATATTTGCTTTCCTATATTGTAAGTAGTTTCAAATGCAATTATTACTCCAGTCATTATTGGTTTTTATTACTATTACCATTAATAATAATAACAATAATATTAAGTGATTTCTGAAAGATCATGTGACTGAAGACTGGAATAATGAAGCTGAAAAGGAATCCTTAAAATCTTTGGTATAAATTATTTAATTAAATTATGAATCATTTTTGAACAGTTATTTTATAGTGCAATAACATTTTACTATTTTACAATTTGTACTGTAGTTTTGATAAATAAATGCAGCTTTGGTGAGCAGGATAAGCTAATTTTAAAACGTTTAAAAAGCCTACTGATCCCAAAGTGTTGACCGGTAGTGTTCATTCCATACATTTATACAGTATGAGGCTTGTCTTATCCACAAAATATGTGTTCCCTGATAAAGTGCTTCAAGTGAGAAACGGCTGCTTCAGTTTCAGTGACCTTCAGAAAAAGTGGATTTTAAAACTGATGTATCGCCCGTATCCCTTTCCCACAAACACATGTTAGTCTTTGTCGGGGGTCTGGCTGGTTGGAGTGTTGTCAGCTCTATGCATCATTGGTAACAAAATCCCCCTCTTCAGGCTCTCTTGAGACTCCCTTTAAAAGCTCCTTCAGTGCCTCTCCCTCCCCCAAAACCCATTTAAGGGTCAGTTTCCAGAGAGTTCTGGATGAGTGACTACCTGTACAGGTGAAGATACCTGACCACAGATCCTCTAGTGCGTGAGATTGACTTTGACATGGTGCAGGTTTGCTAGTAGAAGTATTAGATGGCGTTTTGTCTGTGCCAGAGAAAATGCAACTATTCTGTCATCATAATCGGATCAATACTGATTAATAATGTTTGCATTTGGATAAATTATTTAAACATGACACAAGTCAACTCTTTAGTTACATCCAGAGCTGCGAACAGTGCAATAGGGTGTAGTGATAATTGAATTTATCACAAATTTTAACATCAATATTTTGGTATCGATAAAAATATTGATATTTTAGCTTCAAGTGTGGCACCAAGTATTATGTAGTGATAATTCATTCATTTATTTACCTTCGGCTTAGTGCCTTTATTCAACAGGGGTCACCACAGTGGAATGAACCGGCTAATGATAATTGAATTTATCAAAAATAATAATATCTAGTGACAATTACATTTATCACAAGGATAGCATAGAAATGCAACTTTTAACTCGTTTTATGTAATATTTACCTCGAACAGACATTTGATATGAGCTGTGTATTTTGAGAATGCTTTTTTATCTTCATTCACTCTTTAAGTAAAAAATAATAATTTAAAATTGAGGTATGCCATTTCAAAACATGCTTGTTCTTGTTAATAATTAATTATGATTATTATTAGTTCCTTATATAGCGCTTTTCTGGACACTCAAAGTGCTTTACACAATTTTGGGGGGGAATCTCCTCATCCACCAGCAGTTGTTTAGGTAATAATTTTGTAATTGGAATAAATATAAGATGTCTCATTTTAGTGTCAGCATCAAATTAAATTTACAAAAGTGATTTTACATAGAAAGCTTATTAAATCTAAGTATATGTTTTGTGAAAATAAAATGTCAAAATATGTGTGAAAACGTTCCATTGTTATTCAGTGTAAGAGATCTATTGAGCTAAAAGTTAAACATATATTTTGCCTGACATCAAAATATTCTTACCATCCAATTTTATCTTGCATCAAAATTTGTATTAGCATTATTTTTTCAGATGCTTTAACCCACGCTTAAAAAATATCTTTAGCTGCTTGTTTAAACTTCTTTACAGGTTTTCTCAGTGGCTTTGGTGCATTTCTCACAACACTATTTACATTAGCACAACAGGTTATGCATTTCTCAAAACAATTATTTTCATCATCTGTGCACATCATAGCAGATTCTCATTCCTTCCAAAAAATTGCAAATGCTTTTGGACATGCATCAATTACTTTTATACAACTCTCTGCTGTTTTAAAACATTATCATTTGCTTATGTCATGTCATTCAAAATTAACTAAACTTGTGAATGCTGAATAGTCATACCATATAAAACTAATATTCCTTATTTCATTACTTGAGTCATTACATACAAAAATGTTGAAGTAGTTGTCAAAATCTGTCATGCTAATTTTATAAAAGATTTTAAATATTTTTTATTTCATGAAAATGTCTTCTAAATTGAACAAATTCATGAATGATTTACAGACCTGTGTATGCACTGCAATATTGTTTACAGTTGTGCACAGCTATACCCAAAGGAAGTTTTTGTTTTTTGTAAATAAGGGTGTGTTTATTATTTTGAACAATGCTGTAAATAAATTAGAATTTCAAAGAGCAACGGCAGTAAAAATGTGAAACATACATATTCAGTGTCTTGTACTCAGATTCCTCACTAAATGCAGTGATGTCTAACTTTACTGTAGTTTTCAAATGGCTGTGCAAATAGTATATAGTGCTGTCTTGAACATTTTCAGGAAGTGTCAACAAAACCTGACTTTTTTTGCATTGAAAAAATGTACAGAGTAAACTGTCGTAATGAAAACATTTGACTATCTTGTTCATAAACAATGGTGCTAGGACTTTTCATCTTGATGACACTGACACTTTCATTGACATCATTACTTGCTTTAGAGGAATGAGTTATCCATTTTGAGCAAGTGACGCGCTTTTGCAGGTTATCAACTAGAATTTGCAGGTTGTACATATTGTTTGGAGAAATGCATTAACTGTTGTGCAAATGTAAATAGTGTTGTGAAAAATGCACCAAAGCCACTGAGAATAACTGTAAAATAATCTGAAACAACACAAAACTTCATTTTTTGGGACAACTTAATTGTTTTATGTTCATTATGGAACCCAGCATTTTTTACAGTGTACGATACCTGTAGGCTAAAATATATGAAAGAATGCTCATAATACAAATTTTGTAGCCTTTTCAAAACATACTAGTGGTTTAAAAAATAGTGTGAAAGTATTCACACTCTAAAACAATTATGACAAAAAGTTATTATGTTGATTTAACTTCATTTAATAAGTGAATCGGGAAAGTTAGACAAAGTTTTAACTTAATATTTTTAGTCAGTTTGATTAATGTAAGTTGAGATGACAAGAAAAGTTTATTTAATTTAATAATATTTTTTGACAGTGACCATAGCATTTTGGGGCTCTGTTGTGATTCTTAAATAGAGTCTTTCAGTAGTATGTATCGATTCTTGTAAATATGCCTGACAAGCTTTTTTTGAAATCATCTTTTTCTGTTAATCATGATAAAATGTCACACATTGTTACTTAATTTTCGCTCAGAAACAAAATTTAAAAAAAAATTATAATGGGTCGTACACTAAAAAAAGATGTTTGCTTTGTTCAAACTACTCATTTAAAATGATCTAAAACAACACAATTTGAGGGTTGTTTGAGGAACAACTTAATAGTTTTATGTTTATTCCACTTAAATTTTATTAAAAAAATTATTAAGTTAACTTAATTGATTTATGTTGGGATAATATGAAGGAATTTTATGGAACCCAGCATTTTTTGCAGTGTACAGGTAGGTTACCTGTAGGTCAAATTATATGAAAGAAAAATAGTGTCAAAGTATAGATTTAAAATGACCATAAGCATCTGGGGCTTCACTGTGATTCTTAAATTAAGTCTTTCAATATATGATGAAACAAACCTTGTTTTAAACATGGCTGACAAGCTTTTTTTGACATCATAATTCTCTGTTAATCATGTTAAAATGTCACTTATTGTTTCTAATTTTTTGCTCATAAAAAAAAAAAAAAAAAATATATATATATATATATATATATATATATATATATATATATATATATATATATATATATATATATTGGGTCATGCACTAAAAAAATGAGGTTCGCTTTTTGTTCAAACTAATTTAAAATGAGCTGATACAACAATTTCTGTGGTTTGTTTGGGGGACAACTTAATTGTTTGATGTTCAGTCACTTAAAAATATTCGTAAAAACGCATAAGTTAACATAATTCCTTAATGTTTCTCCAATACAAATCGGTTGTGTGTAACCCAGCATTTTTACAGTGGATTGGGCAAACCTAAATAATAAGTTAATTTATTTACATTTTTTAACCCAGCTGTTGAGTCTGTCCACATTTGCCTCTAGAACCAAGCCTTTTAATCTAATGTGCATATTAAAAAATAAAGGCTGCATTACTCTTAATTTAGCTTGCTTGCCTAAATTGAATCACCTAATAAACACAGTATTTTGCTTTTGGTTTTCTGTGACTTTTTCATTGGATTAAGACACTTCAGTGTGAAGATTTAAATGTTTAATGATGACAGTGCTGTTACTGGTTGATCATCATGCAGCAAATCTTTTAGTTTAAACTTTTACACTGCCACAACTGGTACATTACCAACACAAAAATCAAAAGAAACCTTGAATCTCTCTTTTTTTGTATTATTATAAAGAAAGCAGAAGTAAGAAATGTTTATATGTGTACAATATAACTACTGCTGATTAAAACTACAGCTGCCGTTCATGCCCAACACTGGCCTTTTGGTTGAAAAAACACATGGGCTTCTGAACTTTGGTCAGGCACTATAGGTAGATCATATTTATTACCAATTGTAAATATATCTTTTTTTTAATTGCTTTGTTTTGTTTTTTAAAGTGATACTGAATTTTAAGAATGACATAAAAGATAAGATTATAAGATATGCTAAGAATTCAAATCTTAAATCCAGACAGACAGACAGACAGACAGACACAGACGGACGGACGGATGGATATGGATAGATTTGATTGAATCCTGAGGTAAATGTGAGTTATGCAGCCCCCTGTGGCTAGAGGCTGGTAGGGTGTCCCCCTCATTCCTGCAATCAAGCCCTTCTACACCCGGAGACTGTTTCTAATTAGGGCCCGGAAACCCTCTGCGCTCTCTGTTCACAACCGTTTACACTGACACGAGACCATAGCGAGGTGAGAGGGAGACAGACAGACAGAGCTGAACGTTCTAGAAACTTTATTTTTGACGAAAATGTGCTGTCACAATTCATATTTTGTGTTAAAACAAACGTTCGACAAAGTAGAATTTTATTATTTACGGTGGAAGTTTTTCATTTGTTGATTAGTTAAAGAAACAAAGTTTACATTTGTTTTGATAGTGTTTTGTTGTGATTTGGGTGGACTAAGAGGATTTAGAGCAAGTCGTGTCAGTTTTCAGGGGCCCAGAACTGACAGAACAAACAGTATAAAACTCCCCTTTTCTCCCTCTTTAACTCGGGCGCTCAGTGTGATGAACTAAAAGCCTAAATCTTTATCAAACTTAAAGTGCTTAAAGTGACTCGGTTGGTGCTTTTTCATACTATTTTAACGGTCCAAAAGCCAAGCTCGGCCCTGCGCTCAGCCTGGCGCCTCTTGGCATAAGGGCCAATTTTTCTTGTTGACGTTTTAGGCGTTCTCATTTTTCACGCGCTCATGCCCCTTTCCGGTTCGGACATGTCACGTGGATTGAGATATTTTATTATCTTTGAGGTTTTGTGTTTATTTATTGTAGATTTTAAAAAAAATATTATTTTGATTAAGCTTCCATGCTAAAGATAAATGCTCAGAACGCGGATGATGCAACAGATACTTTTAATTGATGTTTTTCCTTTTCTTTTCATCTGATATTTTTTAAAACTACAATCGTAATGTAAACATATTATATATGTAAACTGAATAAAAACAAAGAACCTTAGATTCCACTTTGGTGTTTAGTTGACGTTTGAATGATTTTCTCATTAAAATCTCTACTCCTCGTTCAGTACAGAACAGTTTATATAAATTAATATTTGTGTAAAACATTATAAATTATTAAAATGTTTTAAATGCATACTTCAATGCTGTGAATTTTCTTAAATAGTGGCCTTAATGGTTTAACAAAATTTACGCACTTGTCCAGAAAACCCAAAGTTCCCAAAATCCACAAGCTCTTTTGATTTTCCTCGCTTTTCTAATGATTTGCAACAATCGTTTTTCTTTTTTCTTGATGTAAACGTCCTCTGCGTCAGAAGTATATGCTGTAATGGGTATTAAGTCTTCTCGTCTAACCGTGCTTAAGGCGTCCTACGATCCTAAATCCACAAGGCTGGATGTTAGAGATCCTAACAGTGAATCCTGGATCTGATGCGGATGCCCTTGCATGCCGTGTAGCGGGTGCGGCGCACCCAGGCCGGGCATTGGGTATGCGGGAGCCGCGGGATTGTTCATGGTGCCTTGCAGAAGAAGCACGGAGCTGTGCTCGGGGCTCTGCGGCGGAGAAAACTCATCCTCCGAGCTCGACATCAGCGACTTCACTCCGTCGAGCGGAGACCGCTGGCTCTGCTTTCCGCCGACGCCGTTGTTCTCGCCGTTTTCTCTGTTGGATGATAATATGTGTAACATATTAGTCTGTGAAATGCTATAGGCCTTAAATTAGGCCACATATAGTGACATATTATAGAATAATTAACTTTAACGTATGTAGTGTTGTTCCAAATAATAGATAATCTTATTTTTTATTACACAATTAAAGATTATCTGATTATCTTTCTAGCAGGAACAAATTTCCAGTGCTTTGTATTTAACATAAGATAACTGTCATGTCACTACAGATTTTACTGCAGGCAAACTCCGGCCTCTTTCAGTCTTGAGACGGTTTTAGAGAATATAATTACAAAGTAAAATAATGGGCTATTTATTTTAATCCAATATTTAAAAATATTTAATTACTTTGGCCTAACAAACAAATTCTCATTGCAATAAAATAAATAGTCTGCCCTTTTATTACAAATAAATCTTTTTTTATTCGAGTTATTTTTTTTTAATCGAGCAATATTTCAAGAAATTAAAGTAAACAGCGAAACAAATGTAATGTATTAAAGTAGCCTAGTGTTGATTTGGGTGAACATAGGATTTCTTAATATATTTGCGGGCTAGGGTATTTTTGAAACTGTAATTGGTAAAACTGAACAACAATAGTGGGCTATATTTTAACATTTTAATTGAACTGTTACTTGCTATGATTAACGAAGATCTCACCTCTCTTTTGCCTCGGCTGCCCGGTCTCTCTGTCTCCTGTTTTTAAACCAGTTGCTGACCTGTGTAGTGGTCAGTCCTGTTGCCTCTGCCAGCTCTCGCTTCTCCCGTGGAGATGGATAAGGGTTGTGCGTGTACCATTCACGCAGCACGCTCCGAGACTTTTCCTTAAAGCAATAACTGGTCTCCTCGCCGTCCCAGATAGTACGGGGCAAAGGGAATTTCCTGCGCACACGATATTTGCCCACAGCGCCTAGCGGGCGCCCCCGCAACTTTTCCGCCTCAACATAGTGCGCCTTCAGCCACAGCTGCTGCATCTTCGGGTGGTTGTGCGTGGAGAACTGGTAGCTCTCCAAGATCTTGTAGAGCTCACGGAAGTTTCCCCGGTGGAAGGCAACCACAGCCTTCGCTTTGAGCACGGATTCGTTCTTGTGGAGGTGGTCGCAGGCTGGCAGGGACCAAAGGAACCGTCCGAGCCTCTCCAGGTTCCCACCCTGCTGCAGCACCTCGCAGACGCACGCGACTTGCTCTTGCGTAAAGCCGAACGAGGGCAAGATTGACATGGCTCCCCTATGCAATCCACCCTTTAATGTACTGCTAATCCCTGGCTCTTTGGGTATTCCTCTCAAATTTATCCCAGGACAAAAGTCCCCGTGCCGGATTTATCTGTGGCGCACTCCAGTTTTGATAACCGGTTGTGTGGCACCCCCTGTCACCCTCCCGGTTTGCACACGTGAGATTCGAATGTGGTTTTTCTGTATGGATATTTGACAGAGAAAGCCGGCACAGCGTCATCCCGTGATTAGCTCGCCCTGGTCTGTTCTGGAACCGGCCAGCAGAGCAGAACTGCATCTACAGATCCGTTCCGTTTCCTCCCCGGAGGGCGGACGTCAAGGCCTGAAACTGGAGACCTTGAATACACGCACACACACATAGACACATAAACACGCACATTCCCACTCACACTACCGTTGATAGGCTGCTAATTAATTATTCAATTACCACAAGCACCTCCAGTGCTCTTTTTTGACATCAGTTAGTTGTTTTCAGAATTTTATATTTCAATAAATAACAATTCTATAACTTAGCCCATGCTATAAAAACCAATATTTAATTTTGAGGAAAACAAGTTGCACATAAATTGTGAACATTATCTAATAAATTATTCGTGACTACGTTTTACGGATTAATTCTTTATAATATATTTTTACATGAGTTTATAACAAATACGTTCTCAAAAACTCTGTGTGAAGAACATTTAAAAAACACATAAAATGTTTGTTTAGATGCTAAAAGTTCTTAATGAAAGCGTCAATTAAAAGCAAAAACAAAATAATTTTTATGATCTTTGCGTCAGAAATACAGTATGGATTACCTTTGAGGACTTTAATATGAACTTGAAGTCATTGACCTGGAAAAAGAATAACCTACCGCAACAAGTTATTTATTTAATGATTCTTTTGCTTGAACGACCCGAAACCAAATTTTGAACTGAAAAACGTTTAATAAAACAGCAAGACCTTTTCAAGAAACTCTAGAAGCTATTGCTATGGCTATTGTTTAGATTATTTTGCTGCATCTATCTAAGAATCTTTGAGTGTCTATATTTTTACTTTTTTATTTATTTCATTTGGTTGAAAAAGCACAATAATCCCTGTCGCTGGAACGTTTGGCCCGTGTGCTTTTGTAAGGTGGGCCTGAAACACTAAACCGATCCATTAGCGAATAACTTGTGAGCTTGACGAGCTCTCAGTCTCTCGGTCACAGCTCTTTATCTCTGAAGATATCCGTAACATGACACCGGGAAATCCAGCTGGCCCGCTTGAGTTTTTTTTTTTTCTTTAATTTTGAATATTTTTTCCCCTGAATATTTTAGAATGGTGTGAGGATTTGCAATAAAATGAAAATTCCCTAATGCTAATTTGTTTCAGTGTAATCTTTAATAGTCCTCTCTAACACCTGTGAAAACAATCAGTCATGTTCAGTCAAACAGGGAGCGTTTTTCTGCTCACCTCTCTTCTTTGTAATGGTTTATTAATGCCTTTGGACAGACATAGTTTACGCACCAAACAGATGTTATTCAGAATAATAGACTAAATAAGATAAATATCAGAAATTAAATATCAGAAATTATAAATAAGCTTCATGTTGCATATTTACACATACTGCATCTATAAACACAGTTTGCATTGGATAGCTCCTACAATAATAACTAATCAATTATCAATGAGTCATTAGTAAAAAAAAAAAAAAAAAAAGGCTTACCTGCACTCATAGCCTATCATGCGGGCTAATTCTTTCTAATATACTAACTGGGTACATATTAGGGCATATTGTAACAATTACAATGTAACTTTTCTAACAAGTTTGTACACATTTCTGCCTAAAACCGTTTTTAGACTGTCCTAAACACTACGTGGGTCGATACTGCTCGGGTTACGGTAGAACGTCCAGCAAAATGCACCCCCTCTAACCCACAGCAGATCCTTTACCAGCCCCCAGCACGAACGGCGACGTGCCCGCTCTCAGATCATGATCATTTCAAGATGTTATGGTCCAACAGAAGCGCGCGCGCGTTTACACACACACATACACGCGGCGCGGCCCCGACTCTTTCAATAAGCACAGTGATGGTACAATGTGCGGACACACACACGCACACACAAAACATCCTAATAAGTGCAACATAAATGTCACCATATTTCATGTTTAGTAGTCCGTGCTCCACCACTGTGAAGGTGTAAACTGTTTTCTTTTGACTGAGTGTGTGTTTATGAGTTTTCTGTGAGGTGTAAATGAAAGACTGAGTGCAGGAGAATCCACCGCTAATTACACGTCACGCGCTGTTGCAGTCGCTTTGGGATATATATAGGGGAAAAACAATTAGTAGACATAATACCATTTTTTTAAACAGCGAGATTATTATTTTTTAAAGTTTTAATAATTTTAAACAGATTTTTTTCAACAACAATCAAGACACAAAGCATTCTTCGATATAGCATATTTTATTTGTTTTGTTTTGTTTTTTCGGGCCTGTAATTAGATGCAAGGGCGTAGCTATAGTTTAAACCGAATGGCCATGCGATTAGATGACATACAGTCATACGATTTTATTAAAATATTTTTTTCATGCACTATACGGACACAATAAAATTGCACAACTTAACTTTCTAATTAAATTTTTGTACGTACCTACAATTAAAAAAAAGGCTTTAGATGTGTTATCAACCCAACGTTAAATGGGTCAAATATGGACAAACCAAACATTGTGTTAATTTTGTACATTAAATTTGGTAACAGTTTTTGGTCCCAACTGTTGGGTTAGTCCATATTTAATGCAAACCAGCATCAGTTACAGTATCTAATAATAAATGCACTTTATCGACCTTTAAATGTTATTCTGGACGGTCCAGTGTCAGAACTTTGAAAACAGAGAGTAAATATTAGGTTTCGTTAATTGAAACAGAGACAGTGATTGCTGTATTGATTATAACATTTTTATAATGCATTCATGAGTTTTGTTACTTGTTTTGTGTAAAAATAATTTTTGTTTTAATGGGTTCTTTAATCTGGATATGAGAGAACATGCGAGATACACACTGTTTTGATTGACTTCTAAATAGTATAATACTATAAAGAAAATAACTAGACATATATTCATCAAACTTGTTGTGCGAATTGTTTTAGAATTGTTAATTAAATTGTCTATATATAGGGGTGGCCAAACCTTTTCTTATCAAAGGGTCAAAAACCAAACTTGATTGAGGGCTATGGGTTGATGAAACCGTATGTTACATTATATTTGCCATGAATAATTTCCTAATAAACTAGAAAATGTTGCTTAAGAACATATTAATTAATAGTGCAGTATCATTTTTTACGTTTTCTAGTGATCTTATAGTAAAAACATAAACAATCCTGTCTTAGATTTATATTGTCCTCTATCTGTCAAGTGGCAGTATTTACATTTTAAAAGTCTAATTCATTTACAACATTTAACTTTAATTGGCTTTTTTGTAGCTTCTCAATTAAACAAAGAAACAAAAGGTTGTAGTCCTACGTTAAACTCTAGACCAGGGGTCACCAACATTTTTGAAACTGAGGGCTACTTCTTGGTAATCACTATGAAGGGCTACCAGTTTGATACACACTCCTCAAATAACATTTTTTCTCAATTTACTATTAGTTATATGTTATCATTATTAATGATTAATGATATTTATCTGTGAAGACACTGATCATGTTAATGATTTCTCACAATAGTTCTCAACAATATTTTAACAAGGTAAGAAACAGAAACATCAATATGCAACTCTTTATTTGTCTGAAATAGTTTTAGTTTTTTATATACTTTAATGTCATTAACACATTTTACACCAATGCAGGTGTGATTTAAAAAGAATAGCTTCAAAAAATACTAGATTCAGCTTATTGGTATGTGGTGCAATGGTGAGCTATTTTTAGAACAGGCCTGTGGGCAACTCATGTAATCCTCGTGGGCTACCTGGCGCCCGCGGGCACCATGTTGGTGACCCCTGTTCTAGACAACTCTCCATGTCATGTCATATCACTGCAGAAAGAGGGCGCCAGCCAGCGATAGCGATTTGATTTTGCCATAGATGGCTAAATTAATCTTATTTTAACAAATCTCCTCTGTTAAATATTTATGATCTCTGTTGTATGCACTTTATTAACAATACATTTGAGTCAATTCTGTCCTGTTGTGTTTACAGAGATTTCAGCTCAGAATCTGAAACAATAGGGTAAAAATGGCATTAAATTAATTCAAGAACAATGCATTTCTTCAATCGTAAACACTGGGTTCTGTGGGCTGACAGAAGCAATAAAAAAAAACAAAAAACAGTTGTGCTCTCTCCCTCTGTGGTCCAATTTCACCACGGGGCTTAGATTAACCTCTTGTGTTTGTGTGTGTGTGTTTCACTGAGAGTCTTAGGCTTGTTGTCTTTATGACTTGAAATTTGAATTGTCTTATTTAAATAATAATAATTACTCCGTACTAATCCAACCTGATAACTCTGAAGAAATTATATGTGAACAAGACAGCTGAAAAACATTTTGTACAATGTCTGATAGTTCTTTATATGGCCTGAATCTGCAGAAACATTTAAAAATGTTTTTTTTCTTTTTTCTCTCTTAATAGGCAGGCATACCAAAGAAATTGTGTAAGACTACAAAGGTCAAAGTTCAGTAAAGGTGAATGACAAGATGTCATCTTAATATCCTGGAAAGCAAAGAATGTAAGTCTCATGACACAATAGTATGGTATTAGTATTATTTAGGAACAGATAACTGTAGGTCATTTAAAGTGACATTTAAAGACTTAACTAGAATAATTAGGTTAACTTAGCAGGTTAGGGTAATTAGGCAAGTTATTATATAAGGATGGTTTGTTCTGTAGACAATCTAAAAATATATAGCTTAAAGGTGCAAATAATTTTGACCTTAAAATGGTTTTCAAAAAATTAAAAACTACTTTTATTCTAGCCGAAATAAAACAAACATGACTTTCTCCAGAAGAAAAAAATATTATCAGACATACTGTGAAAATTTCCTTGCTCTGTTAAACATCATTTGGGAAATATTTTTAAAAAATCAAAATAAAAATTCAAAGGGGGGCTAATAATTCTGACTTCAACTGTATATATATATGTGTGCATAAATGTGCATATGTACATATATGTTCACCTATATATTAGTAAAATTATTAATATTCATAGCTGCTAGACAACATAAATAAAAGCCCATGTAGAAATGTATATATTTTTTTTTATTTACTTAGGAACAATCAAATAGTATAAGAAAAAATATAGTACAAGAACAAAAATAAGACAAAAAAAAAAAACAGAAAAAAAACCAAACAAAATAAAACAACAACAAACCATTTTGTTATACATTTCCTTCTTTCCACTTCATCTTCATCTTCATTCAAGAAAGAATTGGCCTTGTAAATGTTTCAGGAAAATGTGTAGACATCATAGCTTTCCATCTCCTCTCACTTATTTGCCATAGTTAAATTCCATAACATGCCAATTACATGTTACCAATTTCAAGTGTCCGCACATACAAAAGGTTTTTTGCAATTTTTTGTTAGTTCTTATTGCCTTTATAATAGAAAATATGAGCTAGGCATCATGTATGACAGTTGCCAAAGTGAGAAATGAGCTATATAGGAGACATGTCTTGTATGTACATATAGGGCTTATATGCAAAAGCAATACAGAAAAAAAGCAATAATGAAGCAATACAGGAGACCTTTATGACCTGTATATGCACATATACTGTATGCACTTTAATTTTGCCTATATGTGGCATACACACACACAAATGCAGCATATATATGTATGTGTATGTATGTATATATATATATATATATATATATATATATATATATATATATATATATATATATAATCATGTGCATATATATTGCAAATAGGTTTCATATATGCGCATATAACCTCATATATGTTCTTTTCAAGTGGGCTCTATCACACACACACTCACGTATGCAGGTATGAAACACAGCTGAGGAGCAGCGTGTGCCCTTTCACCTCTCATTAGTGGGGTTGTGGGGGGAGGTTCAGGTTACAAATCCAGCTCTGTTTGCTATTCAGAGTTAAATCCCCCTCCTTTCTAACCCCCAAAGGTGAGAGGTCATAGTTTTTAATAAGGCTCAGTTTGAGAGGTTCATATTTTTTTATTGCTGCTTCTCAGTGTGAGGTATGGTTGAGTGGTTTCAGTCACCATCACTCGTTTATTTGCTTGTTGGTAACAGCAAAATATGTCATAAAGGCATTGCGCTGGATCAGAATCTGCTTATAAAAAAACTCAACTTATAAAACTCTGTTCTGTCACTGCGTCCATTGTTGGAGCTGTGTTATCTGATACCTGGCCCTCTCCCATGGCAACAGGGTCACCTAGGCGGTTTGGGAACAGGTGACAATGCTCCTGTTTCCTCTCCTCATATACAAACTGTTCCAGTTATCTCTCTCACTCAGTTATTTGGGCCCGGTTTTCCCTTCTCTGCAAGAGGAGTCATGAACTGTAATGCTGAAAGAATGCCAATATATTGCTAAGATGATGTACTGTAAAAAAGGAGGATTTGTTTTGAGACACTTTTTTACTTTCAACAGTATACTCATATATTAAAAAGGGCTAAGAGAGTGGTCAAATTTATGGGAATTTCAATGGAAATCAACAAATTAATTAAGCTGGAAAGAAAGGTGTTGGAAAAACATTATTGGAAATTTCAAATCCCCAGCACTAACAACCAAATATACCAACAAGTCTCCAAAATGTTGGCGTAACTGTGGATGTAACAAAGCAAACCATTATCAAATATTTTGGGAATGTATGTATGTTCAAAAATACTGGAAAGAAATATACGGGAGACTCTTAAACATATATTTGAAGGAGATATTTCTCTGGAAAGT